ACAGCCGCTCTATCACGTGACCACACTGCTGCTACAGTTATGAGCTGAGTTACGCCGTGTCACAAGTTTTGTGAGGTGCTTTTGTGATATTTAATGGATCGATTACATTTTTTATTTCTCTCCGATATCCGATCCAGTGATTTACGTCAGTATCGGACCGACACCGATACGTAATATCAGATCGTCCATCTCTAGTGCAGTTATTAAAAACAAACAAACAAAAGAAAAGACTTCACATTGAAGTACAAACATCATTTTATGTTGGTTTTAAAAAGCCAAAGGTTTTCTGACCCCACAATTAGAATAAAGGGATAGGAGTTAAGCTCCTCCCCCTCTGGGGTCTCCACACAAATGAGTCGTCAGAGTAATCCCCCACACTTACAGCTCGTCGATGTGCTGACACGACTGTATCAAAGCACGGACGCTGTGAGTGCAGCAGGAAGCAGACGTGTAGATGTGACTTTCCTCCCCGGCTGGGACGCAGATGTCGCACGCTTTCATACCAGCGTCACGCTCAGCGGGTTTCTGAGGTCGAACCACATCAGTGATTGGCTGACAGTGGAGCTAATTAAAGAGTGAGTGCTTCAGCAGAACTTTCCACTAACAGGAGCGCATCTAAGAGCGCTGCTGATGAACAGCTTCCTGCCCGAGTCTATCACCTCCACACAGGTTTTCCTGCAGCTACACGCCACCCTGCATTCGGCGTCCGCAGGACGTGCAGACGCGCTCACAGGACGTCACTGAATAAAAACTGAGATGGGCCGTAATCCAGACAATAAACTGGATCTGATCTTTTCACAGAGCTCCACACTGGCTCAGCATCAGCAGCTCTGCACGTACAACACACCTGCTCAGATTCATCTCCAATCATCTGCTCAGAGGGGCGGAGTCATGAACGTTCAACCCAAGCTGATAAAACTGATGCATGTGTTTGTTAAAGTATATCAGACGGTGTTTTTTGTACTGATGGACCAATCATTTCATTTTTGTGGCTGAGTTATTGGTGCCAGATTATTGAGGCGATCTCGGGCCTCTGATGAGCCTCTGATGAACCTCTGATGAGCGCTCATTTTGATCTTCAAATAAACACACGTAACATAAAACAGCCATCTACTGCGATAACGCTTTTCTCACCGTCCTCCGTCTCCTGCCACACGATGCCCTCCAGGTTCACGCTGGTTCCCGGCTCACAGGGTCCCAGGCACTCCGGCTCGGTCGCCAGCGCCGCGTCGACGGTGTTCACGGCGATCGAGCGCGTGCGGACCATGATCTGCTCGCAGGGAGACGAGATGTCGCCGCTGCTGGGGACGGAGCCGAGGAGGTGGAGAGGGGGAGGAGCTGGGGTGGAGACCGGAGACTCCATCTGGACGGAGGACAGAGAAGACGAGAGAGAAATCAAACACGTGAGTGCAAACACACCAACGTAATGTTTAGTTGGTGCCAAAACAAAGAGAACCACTTATCACGTTAAAGAAATAAAGATCATTTATTCCCCGTGATGGGAACAGCACCTTTGACCTCCTTTCAATCCTTGGCTGCCCATCAAGGCAGCACTCAAACATCTACCGTCTCTCTCTGAGGTAAAATTGCAGCTTTTGTGAATGAAGTCTGGTGCAGAACATCTCCACTTCCTGTCTGACAGCAGCTTAAATGTCTATTTAAACTTCACGCCTTACTTTGTCTCTCTGCTTAGGGGTGTGGCCTACTGCCAAAACACATCCCCAACTGAGAGGAAGCCGTTTTAAAGTCCCACCTTGA